GATGTTGCATGAATTCCCTATTTAGTCAAGCGATACCTTGAAAAATCGTTCAGGAGGAAGATTTCCATATTTGAATTGTGTTTCAGGACTGACTTTGCATTTTGCATGGTGTTTGGATTGAACCTATGGCAAAAAAGCAGCTCTTGCATGTAGGGCCTGTGAAATCCCATGTAAAATCTCTGGTAGGATTGAACTGACGTTCAATGATACAAAGACCTTTCATTTTCTTTACTCTGTTTGCAAAAGTACTTAAAAACAATTGCAAATTGGGATCTGTCCTGTTTGTCTAAGTAGCCAAGTGAGTGTTGTTACTGTTTTTCCTCACATGGAAAATTGTGGTTCAGGTTGGATATTAAAAGTTTCAACATAAAAGGGAAGTTATGACTTAAATGCCAAGTTCTGATCCAAGTCTAATATCCACAGTAAAAGTTCCCCTGGGGAGCTGTTGAGTTTTCAGCTTTTCCAAAAGCAGATTGTTTCTATACAGAAATGCAAAGAGATGGTACACTGAAGTCCTCCTTTTCCCACTTCTTTCCAAAAGAGTATTTGTGTTTTTACAAGTGTGCATATCTTGAAGCCTTCTGCAATTTCACATGCCTGTAGTGTAGTTCATTGAATAATGCAGATGTTGCTCCAATCTCCAAAGTCACCAAAGGCCTGAGAAAAAAATTAAATAATGTCACTAATTATAAACTGAGTGAAAAATTGCAGTAAACCAGGCTTTTGAAGGGGAACCTGAATTACTTGTCTTGTGGTTGCTTTTCTGCTGCATACAGCTTTCGTTTTCTTCAATTGGAACCAGCCTTACACGTTCATTAATGGTAGCATAAATATTTGTTTCTGTGATGACAGATGAAGGTATTGATTTAATCACAAGTATAAATTTGACTTTTAAATCTTCTTGCAGACTGCAGAAGAAATGTAGCATCAGAGGTAGAAACACCAGGGCTTATTGAGAAGTCTGAAGTGTTAGATCCCAAATGTTTGCATGTAAGGAAGTATAATCAGATTAAAGGAAACTGCAAGTGCATGTAAAACAGACGTGAAAAATCCATAGCATAGTGAGGGTGCTGTGAGCTAGTGGGTTTTGCTTGGTTTTACCCATGAGTTAATGGAAAAGCGTGCTCTCTGTGGAGGTAAGGGTGAGATGGGGAGCCATTAGCTGTTGTTTCTGCCAGAGTGAAAAATACCAAGACAAAATAATTGGGCTGGAGAGAGCATTAGATAGACCATGAGATGTAGAAACTGGATTATTTGTTTTATCTTGCTGCAGTGGTCATTCACCTGATAACATTAGTTTCCCTCAAAATATAATTAACATTTTATTCCCATAAGCATTGTTGTGTATTAGATGTTAGTAGGACACAGAACACTATTTTGTAAATACTGAGTTTGGTGCATAGATAGCTAATTCAGTGCTAATGTCATTATCAAAGGTTGTGGAGGAAGAATGTCCTAAAGGGTCTATTCCTCTTGAAATCATCTCCTGTAGTTATTCCGATGTGACTACCGGTGCATCTTCTGCAGAGTCTCGCATTTATTATTCTCCTTAAGAAATGTTAGAAAAGGAATTTTAAAAAAATGTCAAATCAATTCTGTGATTTTATTTGCTTCCTGATTAATCCTGGTCTCTGGAAAGCAAAATGTACATTCCCAATTTCACACCTAGTTACATCTTCTGTTTGCTTTCATCACACGCATGGCTGTTCTCAGGAATGGTGAACATAAGCATAAATGATGCAATATCCCTCTTTGATTTTGAGTGTTTTGCTTTGAAATTAGTGGAAATGTGCAGATTATCTGTAATGCAACATGTAAACAATTGCTATGTACATCCACTCTTTGTAGTGTCAAGGCAGAGTTTTGAACAAGGCTTCTGTCTGTTTGCATAAAGACATAAGAGATTACAGCTTTATATATCCTGACTCTTACGTCAGCATGGTTTTTTTTTTTACATGTTATACTCAAATGGAACTACTCCGTGGCTTGCCTTCTTTCTATTAAAAGGAAGCTGCCCTTGCAGAAGCAGTGACCTTTAAAAAGCAAGTTTCGAGTAATCCCTTTATTTTCCTGAGATCATATAGCACAGTATCCAGTTGCAGGCTTTTAAGATGGAATGATTGCAGGCTTTGTCTGCTCACCCAGATTGCATTTCTTTTTGTTTGACAAAGAAAACTCTAAAATACTTATACCTTCCTTCCTAGGTTCACTCTGTGTTGAGGATGCAGAGTAGTTGCCATATCATCCATGCACCTCTGGGATTTATTGAATTTACTTAATTGGCCTTTATCTCACAGTTACACTTTAACACCTTTTTTGAAGGAGATTCAAAAAGGATACAGTTACTCCTTTTCTAATTCACTTTGAGAATTCGGTTACTCATTTCAATATCTTCCCTTCTTTTCCTGGTAGAATATTCTGCATAGCCACAGCTGAACATTTGAGACTTATGTAGCGAGAGATTTAAGTCCATGGAGCTGCTAACTAGCAAAGCAAAGGCCTATGGCAAAGCAGACTGCATTTTAAAGTGGAAGCTGTGTTTTAGGGGAGTATGGAGTCTACCACCAGCTATGGAAGCCTGTGGGTAGGTGTTGTAGATATTCAGGGCATTGGAGAACAGACCCGGAGGGATGCAAGCCCGTTTTCCCAAGTCCTCTTGTGCCTCCATCACCCACAGCATCCAAGTGACTCAAGCTCTCTGTTGAAGTCGAATGTAGAATTGCCTGTTACTTGGTATCCCCCACCCACTTTTGATGTGTGTGAAAACCATGTTGCTTCCTTTGCATGAAGGAAATCATCCTGTTTATTAAGCTCATTGCTTGCTGTGTCTTCTCAGGGCTAACATATCTGACAGTATACAGATGCACAACTCAGCTGTTTTTGCACAACATTCATTTAGACACCTGGACTAATTTTTGGAAGGTCCTATATCAGATTAGTGGATTAAGTCTAGGTTGATTTTAGCTTTCACATAGTACAAGAAATTGTGGAGGACATTAGCTAGAGGGTAAGGTGACTTTCGTGGATGAAAGCACCATGTGGTGCTTATCTAAATAACACGATCATCATTCAAATCAAGGTGGTTTTTACTTGCTCAGTGGAGCAGTTGTCAGCACAGTGGTGTGTGCACAGCTAAGGAACTAGCATGTCTGTACAGCTGATGCCAGCTCTCCAGCAGAAAACAATATGGAAATGACCAACACCTCTCAGGATCCTCTGAGAGCCAAGTGAGTGAGAGATTAGTAAACAGGAGTGAGAAAAACTGGGATTGAAAAGAGGCTGAGATGCAGGAACTTGCTTAAAACAAGAAAGCTCACTGCTAACCGTCAGGGTTTCCAGGGATAATTGCCTGGAGCTGTTCCCCTACTCTTTTTGGCTGAAGATCAGACTTGGCAAACTTAATTCGTTTGTTGTCTTTATTTTACTTAATTGGTTTGGGGCTTTTTTTTTTTTTTTTTTTTTTTTAATTATTATTATTATTATGAAAATCAGTCAGTCCAGTCTTCAGGAGAAGTAATTTCCAAATAACTTTTAGGAGATTTAATGTGTTCTTTGCTGCTTATCTCTGCACTCAGTTCCCAGTATTTCCCCAAGGGACTTTGCCATCGGTCCCTGCTGTCCCTGTGCAATCCTTGCTGAGATCTGGCCTGTCCAAAGGGTGATTCAAAGACTCTTGGCCAGAGATGAGCTGATCTTCCTCTGGGGAAGCTGCTCTTTCTTCTTCCCTGAATTTTCCCCAACCCTTTATTTATTTATTTATTTATTTATTTCACTTGACTTTATTTTCCTCATCTCTGGCATGAAGTAATTGGGATTTTGTGGTTACATTTCCCACAACAAACTTCACCTACGTGGCTGGCAGGGATGATTTTAAAAAAATAATAATAATAAATCCCAAATGGCACAACATGAAAAGTCTCTGCAGTATCAGACTGAAAACAAAGAAGCAAGTTTGTTTCCCATACACATGTGTGCTGCAAAGGACAGATAACCTTCCAGGGCTGCATCTTACAATAATAAGCAGAGCTGTATAGCTCTTTGCATTCTTCGGCTTCCCCAAGCACACTGTAAACTTCTGAACTGTGAGCAGGGATTGCAGCTCGGTTTAAATGTTTTAATGTTTAAATACTTATGGATGCCATTTGCAAGGAATTAGCATCACTACGCAAGCTGCAACACCTCGGTAATATTTGTTATTGGAGAGCAATTGAATTCTAAAGATCAGAAGGGCCTGCTGTCCTGTTCAGCGCTTCCAGAAACAGGTGCTGGAAGGTGCCTTGGCTTCAGTGAGCACACAAGGCAAAGTTAAGGAGCCTGCATAACTGAAAGTGTTCTGTGTGTGCTGAAATGCATACCTGCAAAGCAACTGAAGGATGGCAACATGTAATCAATATGTAATTCTGTTGTGGTAATATAAGCCCATGACACATTGGAAAAGTGCTTGAATAGACAAGATGTGGGGTTGATGAATTTACAAATGCTTGAAAAGACAAGGTGGAGGTATAAGCCACTAATATCAGTTCCTGTTTTTATTTTGCTCAAGTGGGCAATCCTGGTCAGATCCTCAGCTGCTGAAAATCTGTGCAAGTCCACTGCTTTTTTGGGATCATGCTGATTTGATTTGCCCAGAGCAAGTTCATTCTCTTGAATCTCATTTCTCCTTGAATTTTGTCATCTGTTGGTTTATCTAAATCAACACGTAGTGGAATCCAACCTTTTCCAGAAATGCCAGCAGTGGCACAGGTTGGTTGCTCAGCATTCATTATGAGCTTTTCATGTGGACTTAGTCCTAACCTGGGGTAAATCATTATTGCTCTAATTGAGGCAGCAGGCAGCACAATTCCCAGCTGTTAAAAATGGCCAAATACCACCAAAGTGAAAACAGGCCCCACTGATTTGCAGTAGCTAAGGATGACATGCTGATGAGTTTGAGTTCAGAAGGGGCAGACCATCTTACTAACCATGGTTTTGTCTGTTCTGTTTTTTCTCCTGTCTTGCAGCACCTTCTCCAGTCAGTAGTGTGAAAAAAGGGAAGATAACTAAAAATAGCATCTCCCTTTCCTGGCAGGAGCCAGATCGACCCAACGGCATCATCCTGGAATACGAAATCAAATATTTTGAAAAGGTGTGACGGACTGATTGCCGAGCATCCCAAGTACCTTCTCTTTCCTGTCCTCTTCTTCTGGTTGTAATTATCTGAGTCATGGAAAGGAATGGAGCAGTTTTATGCATAAATCAATGTCACATTGATTTTGCAGTAAATGATTAGGAAGATTTGAAATGAGGGTGTTGTTTTCCATTAGTGTGCCGCTTCTCTTGAACAAATACATTAAATCTGTGTCAGATTCCTCCTCAGCCTTATCGCATTAAGGTAGAACCTGTTCAGTATATCCTATTCTATATCCTCTCAGAAATACCAGGCTATCCCTTGCACTTGGTATTTCAATTCCTCACTTGGTTTTGTATCCAGGGTATAAGGAAGGAAGGGAGGGTTAAAATGAGGCAGTGTCTGTTCTGATGTGAAGAAGGGCATCATGGCTTTTAAAAGCTTGCCTTTTTTTTTTTTCTTTTTCCCAACTCTAAATCTCTGTGTAACGAGAAACACTTTTCCTACAAAGGTTGACCATCTCTGCCCCTGTTTCAAATGGTGACATCTTTTCTTATTGAAAAATTAGTGAAGTTTAAAACAAAATGCCAATAAATGAAGGCTCCGAGATGACCTGATAGAGGTCTTTCAGTATCTAAAGGGGAGCTACAGGAAAGAAGGGGACAGACTCTTCAGCAGGGTCTGTGGTGATAGAATAAGGGGAAATGTTTTCAAACTGAAAGGAGGTAGATTTAGGTTAGATATAAGTAAAAAATCTTCTCCAGTGAGGGTGGTGAGGCACTGAGACAGGTTGCCTGGTGATGTGGCTGATGCCCTGTCCCTGCAGACTTTCAAGGTGAGGCTGCCCTGGGCAGCCTGCTCTAGCTGTGGTGTCCCTGCTCATTGCAGGGGAGTTGGACTAGATGGCCTTCAAAGGTCTCTTGCAACCCTAAGGATTCTATGATTCTATTAAATGCATTTTTTGAAAGTAATGTTTTGTGAACTATGCAGCTCAACTAAGATTTCCAAAAATCAGATTTGAGGGGTTCATCTGAAAAGCAATTTGTAGCTTTAGCTGGAAATGTAACCAGGCTTTCTCTCTTAAAAATGGAAGAAAATAATGAAATTGAGTCGCAGTTCTCGTGTTGTTTTGTTTTTGTTTTTTTGTTTTGTTTTGTTTTGTCAAATTTCTATTTTATAGAAGATCTTTAATTAGTTTTATTGCATAGGTAAGGACACTCAGCACTCAACAGCACTGGACCACCTTCCTCCTCATCCTCTTCTTTCTTTCTTTCTGGGAGAGATTCAGTCCTGCAGTCCAAGCAAACCTGGGAAAGAGATTAAAAAAATTTTCTTCATCAGGATAAAATGTTTGTTTTTTTCTTTTCTAATTGAGAGAGCTTGGACAGGGTATGAGTGGCTTAAATAGGGTTGAGCCCCCGGCTTTCTGCCCAGAAACCTCCAGTGGTGGAAAACCAGCTGGATTTGCCAGCAGTCCAAATTTTGGGCAAGAAGGTGCTAACCAGCCCATTGTTTTCTGAGGACCTGTTGTAAGTCCCTCGGGGAGCTCTAAGGAGAGGTGATCTGCATTATGCAACTGAGGAGGAGTGAAACCAGATCCCAGAGCAGAAGTTAGAGGAAGTGTGCAAGTTCTGTGTGCCTGATGTGTTCATTAGGATGTGTGGGAATGGCACAGAACTGCACCAGGAGATGTTCAGACTGGGCATTAGGAAAAATTTCTTTACCATGAAGGTGATCAAACACTGAAGAGACTTCCTGGTGAAGTGGACGATGCGCTTCGTGCCTGTCAGTGTTCAAGAGGCATTTGGATAATGCGTTCAATAACATGCTTGAACTTGTGGTTAGCTCTGAAGTGGTCAAGAAGTTGGACTCCCTGATCTTCGATGGTTCCTTCCAGCTGAATTATTCTATGTGATATTTAAAAAAAATCAATTGGATGTCATTTATTGGGGTACTGAAAGTACTGCTATAGCAGAATGGTGGGATTCCAACAAAGTACGAAGAATCAGGATATGGTTTTACTGGAACTAGTGAATTTCAGATTTTTTTATTGACTTTGAATGAATGTTGTGGTGTACTGTCTCCTTACCTTGGAGTGGCCTGGGAAGATTAGCCTCTAAACTTTAATGATGAGCAAATAAGGCTGGAAAAGTATGTTTGTTCTATTTAGTTTCTTTCCAAACAAAAGATAGGGTTTTAGAATCTTGTATTTGTGATCAAAAATTTATTCACAAGTAGCTTCAGTAAATAGTTCTTAAAGTGCAAGTCATTCATGGGAAGGTTGTTACAGTCAGACTGAGTCTATGCTGTCTTGATTTATTTGTTTCAGGCTGGTAGCTAAGCTTAGTGTCTTCTGTAGGAAAGCTCAAGTGTTTAAATGTTTGCAGAGCCAGCAGTGTATTGAAAATCTAATTGGGCTGACATGCAAGCAAATATGTGAACTAATATTCACTTAGTGCTTTTTAACTATTCATTCAGTTATATTTGGGATGTCATCCTTAATCGTTCTTGTTTGTTGTCACTGTCATTTATATTCTCTTGGGTTTGAGCCCTTTATAACAGTGAATTCACAGTGTTCATTTCCAGTGGATAAGAATGATCGATATTAAATGTTTCAGAAAACTGAGATTCATCAAATCACATTCCTTTAAGAGAATTCATTCCTTAACAAGAAAAAAAGAGCAAGTAGATACAAATACCTCCAATACAGTCCTGCTTAGCTATAGGCTTCAGTGAGAAAATAGGTGATCCTACATTTGGAGATTCCCAGGGCCTCAGACGGATGTGTTATTCTCTGTGGAAAGTTGCCCATTAAGTGGGAAAGAAAAAGAACAGTGAGTTCAGATCCTAATAGAGGTGCAGAAATCTTGGTGGAAAATTGCCCCAGACTGCTGTTTACTTCATAATAATTTAGATTTGAGAGGGTATGGTGAATAAAACAGTTTCCTAGTTTGTAGTCCTTAATTTATGAGCTCTTGTCAAGATTATGTGTTACGGTAAATAATTCTAAGAGTAATTACTAAGCATTTGAGTGAAATTTTAATCAAAGAACTGAAACTCTTTCACATTAGAAACTGATTTAAATTAAGATTTATTTCAAGCGAATTTTCTTCAAGTTCATTTCTTCAGAAGAACACTGCAAAATTAGTTATCTTCCTGTAGTTTTAGTTGGCTGTTCCTGGCCAAGATCTAATTCGTGGCTCTAGAAATGCCAGCATAAAGTTGTACAATGTATAATGTATGATTCTCTTTTAGGCTTAATTACATTACTGAGCGCTAGTTTTTGCTATAAATCAAAATCCCTCTTTAAGGTAAAGGAACTGTTTTCTGCTTTCCAGTGCCTTGGGACTGATTTTTGTTTGTAGTCTGAACCTCTCATTTGCCCCAGGCATCTCTATGCCAGCTGCACTGCCTTTTAAGACGTGCACATCCAGTGTGACAGAAAGCTGCCCCCACTACAGTGCCAGTTCTGCTCCTATGTGTTGTTATTTATGGGTGGAAAGAACCTTGCACACTGCCTGGAGTCATTGGCTATAAAAGCGGCAGGGCAAGGGAAAAACAGATCTCTCTTTTTGTACTGTTGGAAGGGCCTTCAGAGGGTTATTTCAAGGGGAAGAGATCCTTAAAAGTGTGTATTTCATTAATTCTCTGTAACACTGTTGTGGGAGTTGTTAAGAGTCTGTTCCATTAGAGCCAGTATTTGTGTGTTTGAACTCGTGTTTTTTGTTGGGGTTGGGAAAAGGATCAGGAAACAAGCTACACCATCATCAAATCCAAAGAGACCACGATTACGGCAGATGGCTTGAAACCAGGCTCAGCGTACGTCTTCCAGATCCGTGCCCGGACAGCTGCTGGCTACGGTGGCTTCAGTCGAAGATTTGAGTTTGAAACCAGCCCAGTGTGTAAGTCCTTTTAATTGCTGTCAGCTCATGACCCTGAAATGGCTACCAGCAAGGAGTCAGTTGATACCTTCATAGGGAGTTCTGCTGGTCTTGTGCTCTTCTCCTTTCTGGTCTCATTCCTTGAGTTATTATGCATCAGACACACCATGACTGTACACTAGGCGTAACACATCTGCCCTTGCCTCCTTGTTTCACACGTTGGGGCAGGAGTTGAGGCACCAGGAGATTTTTAGGCTCCAGAAATGCCTTAGAAAAGCTTAGAACTGGCTTAGAAAAGCCCTGTATTTGGGAGAGATGTTAATGTTGAATTGTTGCTATTGGCTTGCCAGTGAGTTAGAGAAGGTGGAGATACTCTCAGCTCCACTCTTGTACTCCTTCCCAATAGACAGAGGGGAACATGCAGTACTAGTGAGGGAGGACAAGGCCAGAGTGGCAGGAGGAGAGGGCTCAAACCTTCTCCACACCCTTTGTGGCCACCTGCACAGGACACTGAGCTCTCTATTAAGTATCTGTTGATTACATCTGGGGAAAAGGATTCTTATCCTGAAATGGGGCATCTTTGTGAGGGGAAAAATTTAGCCAGCATTCACATCTTTTGATGCAAGTTACTGTCAAGTTGAAAGATGGCTTCTGATGGTTGTCAGCGCCACAGCCTTGAGGCAAGGAATTTGACTTGTGATCAGAAGTAATGAAAATGTGCACTGCTGGCATAGGAATTCTCTTGGCCTGTTAAAAATTTGTGGAGCTTGAATTTATTTGTTTTTTCTTTCAATGTATCTGATCACTCGGGTCTGTGTTCTGGAGCAGATTTGGGGCTGAGAGCATGAGGACCCAGCTGCTGAGGGTTATGTTCAGTTGTCCAGCTGTTCTTTTGCATGGGTTCAGGCATGGCTGAACTTTTGTCCTGGCTGCCAGATTTTTGCTGAGGTGTCAAAGATGCACTTCCAAAATATGTAGTTTTTATGTCTTTTCCAGTTTGTACAACCATCATCTAATAATCTTGTATACTAATTGTGCAGAAAAGGAAAATATACAGTGAAAATGCTCAGTTTATTCCTGTGGAAAAGAGCCAATTGATTCTGTGTTTTCCACAGAAATTGAAATTCATCAATACTTCAATTGCTGGTATTCTAGTTCGTACAAAATTCATCATCAGCTCTTTGAGAAAAAGATAGCAAGTTGTCATTTCAACGTATGCCACCTTTGAAGTCATCATAGATGTTTAAAGGAATCACAATATTTGTACAGATACAGCTGTGGAGCCAATGCTTGAACTAATATAGTGCATATAGCACCATGATGCAAGTAATAATGCTATAAAAATGGTCCATTTAATGTATTTCTTATTGTGTTAAGCATTAATCCTATAAGTAGCAACAGAATTGTGTTAGACTGAAGATTACTCCATGTTTATACTAGAAAAATTTTGCTAGCAGTTGGAAAGTTCCTAGGTTAGAATAATTCAACTAATAGTATTCCAGAATATTAGTGAAATACTTTATTAAATGCATGCACATTTGATCCAGTGCCGTAATCTCCTGCAATTCTAGTCCTAAAATAGTGATAATTCATCAAAGCTTCTTGTGAAATATAAAGTAAGCTTCAGTACCTTGCACAAATGAAGCTCCATTTGACATTTTAGACCTCTCAAAAAGAGTGTTTTTTTCCTCTCCCAAAACGCTATACAAAGTCAGCCTTAGTGCCAGAAAAGTGAGCAGACTCCCCACTGCTTTCCTGTGTTCCAGCATCCCAGAGAAACAGATGCTTTTAAAGCAAGTGCAGTCTGAAGTTCTAGTGCGATGTCGGAGTTCAGAACTGAACATTTTGGAGAGCCCAACCAATTAATTTTGATTCAGGCACAAACACAAGCCTTCCAGTTACTGTTGGGGGAATGAAGCATCTACTCACCTTCCAAAATTGTTTGGACCAAGCAACATATTTTGTTTCCAGTTCACAGTGTTTCTGTAAATTTGTTTGTATACGTTTGGAGGAACTATCACAGCAATGGCTAACAGCTGAGTGATCTAAGCATTGAGAAGTGGAGGGGATGAGAAAACCTGAAACTTCATCAGGACTCATCTCTTTTCCCAAACTTTGGCTTTGTTTTGCATACTCTTGCCTGAATGTGCAGTTCTGCAAAGCGCTGCATTGGAGCCAGATCTGCAGTTTTCAATGGTAGTTCATGTTTAGGTGGAAGCTGTAGCTGGGTGTGCCCACTTGATGCTTCCCCCTTTCTGAATGCCAGAGAGCTCATCCCTGATCTGGTCACAGACTGACACTGCCCAAAGCTATTTTTATGCTGTATTGGTGAATTAGTCCAGCTGATCACTCAGGAGGGAGCAGGATGTTGTCACAGAGGCAGGCTAATGCAAATCCCCTCCTTCACATGGCTGCAAGGTTCCAGATCAGTTTACAAATTCATGCTCCCCTTCTACCCTAAATCACAGCAGGGTCCATCTGACTTTGCCATCCCTCGAGCTGTGCAAAAAACCTCCAGAGTAATAGCTTAATGTTCTCCTTTAAATGTTTTTCTTTTTAATTATTTTGCCAAGAAAGCAATAAAGCATCATCTTAAGGAGCTTCTATAAATTCGTGAGGCTAATAAAATCTCTGCATGATAGCACAGGTTTGGAGCAGTTAACATTAAATTTTAATGTATTGGGCCAGTCATTCTGAAATCATTTGCTGTTCCTGAGCCCACATCACTTGCAGTCAAGCACTAGAGAGCTCCCGTATAAAGAGCTACTTGAAACCCGTTGCATGCTCAGTGCCTCACCTTTTCTTCTTTCTTTTTTTTTTTAACAATTAATATGGGGCTCTATTCAGTTATTTTATAGCCTCCATAAAATTTATCCTGTGCTAAGGACCCCCTTTATTTCTGTCATTTGGTTAAAGGTCTTCTGCAGCTCAGAAATCAGTTTCTGCTTCTCCCTGGAGTGGCTGGAGTTGCATCTGGGACTAAGGCCAGGGCAGGCACTTCCTAACCCCGTCAGCAGCTATAGCGAGGTTTGTCCCGTACAACAGCCAAATGTGTTTATGGGGGAGGAGGCCAGATCTGTACCCCAGAGCAGGGATGTACAGCTGAGTAGCTGGTGGTGGAGAGAGGAAAGTGAGAAGGCTTAGGTTTCTGCTTGGGAATCACAGTGTGCAAATCTCTAGGGAGAGGTGGGGCCCTTCCCCTGCAGTATTAAGCAGATAAGCACAGTATGGGTGTTGTTAGCATTTCCATTTACCAGGCTTCAAGAATCTACTCACCTGCTTAACATAGTTAACATATGGCAAAACCTGGTTCTTGAACACAGATTTCCTGACCTTTCTGCTTGTGTCTTTATCATGGGACTCATCTACTGCATTTTGTCAGGAGGGATTTTTACAAGGCGTGGGCTGGCACAGTTACACTTTCCTTAGCAGATAAAATGACCAAGCAGTGTGTGTGTCTTAGCAGATTCCTATTTTACAGTAACCATCTTCTGGCTGTATTATATAGATGGTATAGGGAATTTGGGTTTAATTGTTTATAGCTTCTTGAAGCACAGATAATGCTAATTGTCTCAGATCTTGTTCACATCACCTATTTAGAAACTGCAGCAATATTATTCCATGAATGTTTTCTCTGCCTATTTTGTTTTTTGTCTGTGTGATTTCCAATGCAGCTGACCTGGGAAGGACAAACTCCAGCTTGCTCTCTCCAAAGCTGAGTTGTTTTAGCACTTAATTTCTGAATTCAGTGATGAGATACAATTTAGTTTGGGTTTTGGCTTGGTTTTTTATGTGTTTTGGTTCTTTTCCACCCATTTCCCTTCCAAAGTAGAAACAGACAGCAAAGGGGGAAAGCACAAACCATAAAAGAAAAAATGAACTGGTAAGACTGAAACCTCATTGACAGCCTCACAAGAAAGACCCATGCAAGTGCTGACTATAATTTTAACCTTAATCTCCATTTTCTGTTTTTCATCTCAGCAGTAGCTGCATCCAGTGACCAGAGCCAGATTCCTATAATTGTTGTGTCTGTAACAGTGGGAGTTATTCTGCTGGCTGTTGTTATCGGTTTCCTTCTCAGTGGAAGGTAAGAGAAGAAGCTGTGTATTTACACTTCTCCAACTTTTGTAATAACTTTTATCTGGCCAGCTGATTAGCACAATTGAGGCGAGAGCAGCATGTGAACAGAGCTGTCAAGCAGTAGTGCTGTAAAGCAGCATGAGGGTGGGCTGATTGATCTGTTTGGACAGACAGGAATCGCGAATGTGTGCTCACAGATGTAGTTCACTTCCAATGATTTTCATCTCTGCGTAGACTGGCCCTGATTATTAGATTTTATTTGATTCTCACTGGAGTGTTTTCCTATTTCTGGTTTAAAAATAAGCAGAACTTTTTGTAATAGGTTAAATATTCTAAAGCCCATATGTTTACACTCAGACCTTGCAGTGGGCTTTTCTCGCAGAGGAAGTGTGACTTCAGGAAAACACTTGTGAAGAAAAAGAGAAGAATTCCATCCAAATGGCTAAGTGCCCTAAGTTTGGTCAGGTCTGGATTTCATTTTTCATGTGTAGGATGCTAATATTTTCCCCATGCACTAATAAATTATGCAGAGAGATCCTCACGTAGAGGGAATTGCTCAGCTTTAAGCTATCAAACAATCCCATAGACTTCTCATGTGCTTAAACATAGGCAAGTGATAAAAGGCTGGACTATACAATCTTTGACAACTGTAATGGGAGTTGATAGAACTTGTTGGTGAACAAGGAATTGTGGTATTGGGGGAAAATCTAGCTTATGTCAGGATCAGTTTGTACTACGTCACTAAACTTATGTATCAGCCAACACACAAGACAATTTTTCATATACTACATATGTATTCTTCGCAGTCAGTGCAGTACCTGTCAAAACATAGTGCATTTATTTTAATGGTAGCAGTCAAACAGTGCAGCATCATTCATGCATAGCAGTCTGAGGTGCCATGCCAGCATAGCATCTATTGGTGATACTGAATTTGTTTTCAAAGCAAAATAAACACTTTGGCTTAGAAAGTCCCTCACAGTCTTGCTTTCTCGAGCTTGGGTCTAGCAACGTGACTATATGTCGCAAGACATTGTGCTAGTAATAGTTAAAAGATACTGGCAAAGGAACTGCACTGATGCTGAACATATCAGCTGAGAGTCTTGTTTCAAAGAGGAATTGGAAATGTTTGTCAGTGAACACACCACAGTGAAATCCAGCCAGGCTGAACAGCTTTGTCCCCAGTCATACAGCATCTGTAGAAAGGCACAGTTATTTCCTGTCCTGACAGGTAAGTGGATGCCAGACTCCTCTCCAGTAAAGGTCAGAAACTGACGAACACTTGCAACTCAGCTATTCAGGCTCCTGTCATCCGTTTTGAGAGACTTATTGGGCTTAAAAATAGCAAAGTAAATGCTCTGTTTGCATGAGAAGCAAGCAGCAGCAGGGGCAGAGTATAAATGGTTATACTGGTGGCTCCACAAAAGCTGTAGGCAAAAAAAAAGCTGTCTGACTCTGTGAGCTGGTGTTCAAATCCCTCTTTAAAGGCCGGAGGGTTTGGGTCAGATCCTTTTCCAGTCAGACAGAGGGATGTGGACTTGACCTCCATCAGCCTCAGTGCTTGTTTTTATCAACACAGACAGGGAGCAACATTTGTGTGACTGCAGAAAAGCTGCGGATGTAGCTTTTGCATCTGCAAAAGGAGCCTTTAGGCATGAATCTCAGGTGGAGGGACACACGTCCTTTTGTAGCTGTATCCTGTGGCAGCTAGTGGCTGCTGCTCTTCCCACAGGCATTGGACATGGTAAGGATCCCTTTGTTGAGGACATGCACTTGCACTTGGCCTTTTTTATTCCTACCCTGCTCAGATCTGAGCAAGCAGTTGCACAACTGAGCCATTTATCAGCAATTTTGTTAGCTACGGCCTTCTGTCCTTTGCCCTGATGGGCTTTCCACGATGTGTGCTTCCTCTTGGCTCTTTATCCCTCAACATATTTGTAAAGTCCTTGACTGCTGGAGTTTTATCCTCTCCTCTACTGCTGCCTTAATCTTCCTGTCCCGTACTCTCACCAATCTGCATGAAACTCCAGGCAGATGTAGGCTCCTGGGAGCTTCTCCATGGTACCACCCTGAGTGTAGAAGGGATTGGAGGAGTTTGCTGGTTTACATTCATTCTCTCTGCTATCTGGATGGAGAACCAAGCAAAGCAGGCTTGTGATAGGCCTGCCTGGGAATGAGCTGTGAAGAAATGGTTAAGGAAGATAAACTTTCATTTGAAGCAGCTGCTATCCCAGTTTGACATGGGCCTTGGCCTGAGACTGCTGTTGCAGACCTACAGGTACTACATCTCCATGGGTTGTGTTGTCTCCAGGGAACAAAAGAGGAGCTACATCCATTTTCAGATTTTTAATCCTTCTGCTAGACTGGGAAGAGCCCAGTCTCTCTGCTGGAGGTAGAGGAGCCTCTAGCACCAAAGTTTGGTCTGTCATTAGAAAATTAGTTTCAACACTGCAGGAGTTCTTGGCCACTCTGAGTTCCTGTGTATTTTAAAGTCTGTCTACTGTGCAGAGTAACTCTTCAAAGCAGAAAAATAAACCCAGAAACCGAGAAAGCTGACAGCCGTTTTGAAAGCAAAACAAAAAAAATTTTCCCATTTGAAAGAAGCAGAAATGCCAATGAAATGTGTCAGTCATGCAGCTCTGCCTTGGATACAGTTTCAAGACAATTCCTGGAGTCACTCTCATGCTGTGACATTGCAGAGATGATAAATGCATTCCAAGTCATAGGATAATCCCTTTCTGAAGCTGTAACCTGTTTCCATTTCTGGAAGACTTTCCTTTATCTTTAGAGAGGTTATGTGTTCCAGCGCTTAGTACTAGGGAGTTACATTTTCTTTTCTATTTCTTTCTTATAATTACTTTTAGAAAAACAGACATTTTGAACTCCAGGATTTGCTCCAGCTCAAATCACGCTGCTTTCCATGCTGAGCAAGCTGTGCAGAGTCCAAGCACTTTCTCCTCTCTGCATAATGTAGGAGGGCAGGTAGTGTCCAACAGCAAAGCTACAAGAGAAACCTCTCAGACTGCCGCAGTGAGGACATAGCCTGGCACTGCTGCAAATGAGCACCTCATCTCTGGCTCCATGCTGTTCTCAGGCACCATGGGAGTTCCTAGGCACCTCAGAATTAGGATATTGCTCTATGAGATGCTCTATGGTATATCTCTTTGTGCCAGCCCTCCCACGTGCTGGACAAAAGCGAGCATCTCAGGAGGCAGGGCACTGAGAGTACTTGGTGGAACTGGCAGAAGAGTGCAGGGACTTGAGAGCAGGCCTCCTCATGCTTGCAGTTCAGAAAGTAATTTCCTAGCAGTAGGCCTCAGGAGTTTGCTAGCTCTACAGGCTTTTTACTTTCTGTTGGGGCCCTTGAGGCAGAAGTTTCCACACCTTTTCCCTTTTTGCTTTCAACTATCTCTGCAGCTTCTCGCTTCTTTTGAACAAATGTAAATAACAGCTTGGCATTTCCCGTTGGCTGCTGGCCCTAAACCAAAGGTCAACTGAACGTTAGTCACAGTGGCATTTCCACAAGCCAGCGTCCATCTGTGGAAATGAGCTTTGTTTCTGAAGATGGAGGTTCCTGGGAATTTGAAACTGAATGCGCTTTGCCCTAAACAATTAAACTGCATTTCCGAGCTGATGTACTTGCAGATGCTCAAGAAAACGCTTCCTGTAAATAATGTGTCCTCTGACCAAGGTCATAAATAGCGCTAAGCCAAATAGCTGGGAACCGTTGAAGTCTCCTGCTCTGTGCATCAAGGGCATATTAATTATATAACAATCAGGGTTACAAATCAAAGAGATTCACTAAATCAGACTGTACTTGTCTGGGCAAGAAAAGAAGAGTGGATTGAAAATCTATTATTAAACCAGAAACAAGCATTAAATTAAAGAACATAGAGTTATTATCTTTGTTTTCTAAGGGCTGTGTTATTCTCAACAGCAGAATACATTTTACAGATACAGGATGGCTAAATTTTGCTTTCTTAGCAATGCTTGAATCAGTTAGCACTTGCATTGTTGTACATAATTGAAGTATATACTAATTTAAAATTGTTAGACTTTTGCTTCAGTTGTCAGACAATGCCAGTAGCCAGGATGTGTGCTACACAACGCAAAGGGAATGAGGTGCTGCATCTGTTGTTGTGGTATCAGCCCTCAAATCCTACAAACCCAGACAGGAGGTGAGGGTACAGCCCAGCCAAAGCAGGTTTCCATCAGCCTGGGAAGGAGACCCTCTGCTCCAGAGCTCCAGAGCAGTTTTCCCTGCATTGTCCCTCCGGCGCTGTTTACAAAACTGAAGGGATATTGGGGTCAGTCTTCAGAAACTGCAGCTCCCTGCAGTCCTCCAGGCAATAGAGCTTTGCAGTATTAAACAAAGGAATGGGCTTTTACAGAGTAAAATGGGAATGCTATTAGGTCAGTGCTAAGCACGTTTGCGAAAGCTGCTCAAAATAACTAAGAAGTGAACTGTGTATCTGCATTTATAGCCAGCTACCCATTATGGTTGACTTTTCAATCTAAAGTGATCTTTCAAAGAACTGGACAGAGGTTTTTATAGAACTTAAGAAAAATAAATTTGAAGCAGCAAAAAATTGCACCTCTCTCTGTGCTGTGCATACATAGAAAGGCAAGAAACTTCTTCTGGCAAGAAACTAGCTTTGGAAAGACAAAGCAAAGACAAATCTTCCCACCTGGGTGTTGGCAATTAAAAGCTTCTGCACTGGAGTATCCATCCTTGACCTTAGCTGATTTAGACTTTTAAATATCAGCCCCTGTGGTGGCAGAGGGCTAGTTTCTGGACACAAATATGTGCATCTTGTTAAAAAGTGACTTTCATAGAGTAGAGAGGTTGAGAGGACTGTGGTGTGTATCCCAGGTCCCAAGCCAGCATGTGCAGCCTTCTGTGATGTGGAAGGTCAAAATGAATTTTTCCACAGCCCCCTCCTGACCCGCCACATCTTTTTCCAAGATGTGTCAGGGCTTAAAATAGTTCACTTCTTCAATATTTCCATA